GTAAAACTCCAGTTTCTTTTGACTGAATTGATATTTGGCCAGGAGAAAAGCTGAAAGGTAAAATCTAGACAAAGAGAGCATTATCAGAGGGCAGAACAGCTATAAGATACCTGCTTCTAATTCTTTTTCCTTCCAAAAACAGGTTTGTCCAAAGCAAATGTTACATCATAGATCATCTTCTCTGAAAACACATACTTGTGAGCTTTCCGTTCAGGAACATTCAAGCACAACAGGCCAAAATTTCAGATTTCAGACCTCTCAGGGTTTGGGACAAGCTCTTTCCACTGCTGCATTTCAGGAGTCACTGCCTGAGCTCACATCTCAAACCTTTCCATCAGTTTCAATAAACCACCACCACACAAGAACAGCTTTGCTAAATTCTCAGCATTGAGGAATAATGCAGGCCAAACAAGACAGTATGACCCCAAAGCTTTTCACTGAAGCAGTGGGAATAAACTCAACTCTAGTTAGTCCTTTCAGGATAATCTAAGTCAAATATAGACACATATTGACATCGTAGTTCTGGTCATACTCAAAACGCTGTTAGAATAAATGTCATAGTAATAAGCAAAATACTGAATTTTGCACTGTAGTAGTCACAGTGCTCCTTTTATACTTTCATTGTTTACTTTTCTCCTTACATAAAGGCTTATTTTTCCCTAGAGAGATGTTATAAAATTCAAGCTGCCTGAATTGCTAATAGACATATTTCAAAGTTAATTAGTTTAATTTCAGAATCTGGTCTTCTACTACATCTCTATGTGCTAGGAACAGATTTGTAGTGAGAAACGACTAACTATACAACATTCCAGAATTTTTATTGGTGTTTTAACTTTGGACTTGATCCGATCCCGAGGACTGAATGCCTGTTTGTGGCTGGTGTGCTTATGTGCAACCCTGGAGCTCATCTTCTGGTGTAGTTTCCTCTAAAAGGAACACAGCTCCTGTGTTTTCAAACCACCTCACCAAAACACATTACACATGGAGGATCAGATTTGATTCAAAGTTGTCCTATTGATCCTCTTAAAGACTAATGTAAATGCACCCTGTAATTCCTCCCTAGTAGATCCCCTTTTTGCTTGCAGTACTGATGGTTAATGATCAATGTACCAATAAAGTTTCTCTTAAATTCGATAGAAACTACAACTCTTTTTTTCCTGTCTGCACTCACGTTGAATTGACTAAATTGTAACCGTGTCAAACACCTTTCATCCGTGACAACCTAGTACAAAAGGTACCAGTGCCAAGACCATCCCCATATCACACTGGACAAAGGAGAGGAAGTATATATATACATACACACACACACATATGTGTGTGGGTATATATATACACACACACACTGCCTGTGCAGGAGCTCTCAGCAAGGATTCCCACTAAGCATTAGTCACCACTAACTCCTTAATCTCCCCATCACAAGATTGTTTCCTAGCGAGCATATCAATTTTGTGGCATGACTTGTGTTCTTGCTCGTATTTACATCCCTCCTTAAAGTGCTGACCCCAAAACTGGGCACTAAAATCCAGTGTTATCTCTCAAATTCCTATCACATTGAAAGGGTCACTTCCTCTCTACTCAAAATTCCTCATGTGAAAATTATTACCTACAGTGATTTGCAAGCCTTCTAACAATCGCTGCTTTCTAAGACAGCTTTTCTTTTGCTGACACAGCCTGCAGCCTTTGTTCCCAGATCACTTTACATCGAGTGATATTAAGACAATTTTCTAAATTAAGACTTTGTACTGGATGATTTATAGCTCTTTAAAATGAAACTATTATCTTCCTTTATTTACCACACAGTGAATCTTGTTATCTTACCTGAAAATTTTATCAGGAAACATTATATGTAATAATCGAGATCTTTTATAAAGATGTCGTTTAACATCAAAAACTGGTCACTGGAAAATTCTCCAAGTAAGCACTTGGCCACCCACTGCATATTTTACAGGTAACTATATTTTTGATTCCTTCTATGAAACAGTTTTTAACCTATTTAACATGTGGCAGGCTAGTTATTTCCTTTACTTGGTATTAAATCAAGTTCCTTGAAGAAATCAAAGAACACCTCTATCAACAAGACCTGTAATATCACTTTTAAAAAGCATATAACACATTCATAGTAGTTAGCAATATTTTCAACATGTCCAAAGATAGTTCACTTAATTCTTTTAAAAATGTGGAACTGTTTACAATCCTTCCAGTCATCCTGACTTTTTAAACCCCATACAGAAGTTAAGTGTTTTGAAATCTCCTCTGCTCATATTACAGCGTGAGACAATCCAAGAGACACTGTTCCTGGTATCAAAGAGAATTTGCTGGCTGTAAACACATATTCCGCAAAAGGTAACAAGATAACATCTTTCTATAAGTTATCTTTTTCAAGTGCTTAAACAGGTCAAACCATACAAGAGTCAACACTTTCATCTCAGACAAGTCCCCATCTCTTTGTTATCTGTGCCTAGCAAACAAAAAGAGAGGAAGTTGGTACTTTTAAGACATCTTTTTTTCCTCACTGAGTTACATCCACGCCTGTATCAGCAGGCATCGACACATTCTGCTTTAGAATACCAAGACAGATTAGCCAGTAACGGGACAGCATAATAATAATGTAGTACTCATAAAAGGAATCACTTGTCAGGAAAAACTTCAGCCTCCTTTGTGTTGCCTGAATATTTTAAGTTAACCAGATATCTACTAAATACTAAATTTTCTTCCTGTATGTACTTCTGAAACCAACCATCTCAGAAACATTTAACGTTATTAAACATTATTAGCATTATTAAAAATACTTTTATTTTTAACAAAAAGTACATTTAACAAGTACATTTTTGTTAAATGCACTTTTTGTTAAGAATAAAATTATTAAATTATTTCCCTTCCAAGTCTACAAGTTTTTATTGTCATGGCGTTATTCTGTATTTGTACAACTAGCAGCTAACTGCACATATCTAAAAGATCCTGCTTCCACAAAATGTAGCTAATAACAAGAGGACCCTACCTTTTACTCAAAACAATTATTCTATCTCAAAGAATACAGTGTTCTCTTTTCCCAGAATAATTATTTTAAATGTGACATTTTCTTCAGAGATGCTCCTTCCATAGCATCCACAAGATGTCACTATTGTAAAAGAAAGAAACCCATGTGTTGTAAAATACGAAATAACTTTTTTATGTTCTAAACCATGGATTTGATTTGTTGTCTATCAATTCAGTCCAATGATTTATTTTTTTTTTTAATATAGGAACTAAACATTCTCAAAGAAACCAAAAGTGTGAAAAAAAAAACAAAACATAAAATTCTCTTTAAAAACTTAGAAATCAAGACCCTATTTTAGCCACTTGGTTTAAATTACCAAACACAAGAAAAACTTGGCAGACAGCAAGAATAATAAGAGATAAGTAGAAACATTTATGATTTCAGCATTGCAAATAACCTACATAGAAGATACTGTCAGTTTAGAAACTATAGAGCATATAGATGCAAATAAACAAATAAATAGAACAGAGAAGCAAGTAGTCTCCCACAGAGCTTAAAGGAAGTTTGGTCTTGTTTTGTATTTCATAAGGAAAATCAATTATGTATCCAAGCCAGCTCATCTGGCTTATCTCTATATAATCCTACTCACTGTAGGAAAGAATAGGAAGCTAGTATGCACAGAACTGCTACATGAGAAGAAAGTACTAACAGTGCAAGGATTTTAGTTTTATTTCATGCTCAAAACTTCTAATAAAGATTTTAGCACTGTAAATGAAGGTATAGCCTAAAATGTGTTTCCAAAGATTTGTGACTTTTCCCCATTTTGTACACAGCAATCTGAAATTGCAAGGAATTGATGCACAAATAAAAGAGCGATATTCTTGCTGCAAGTTCTATTCACAACTCCCTTACAGAGATTAGGCTTTCAGGATCTTTTTTTGTGCACTACAATCATGGAAGATTCTAAAGGACTCAGTAACGAGTCTGCACTGTTTCCAATTCAATGACCATATTGCTAACCCACTTCCTTTCTGACTGCCTTTTAACCAACAACTTCATTAATTATTAAGAAGAGAATTGTATTAAATCTCATGGTGTCTTTGGTCTAATAGGTGTGACAGTTAATAGGAGTAAAAAAGTCATTTCCTTTGAGATGCGAAAAGGAACAGCAATAAAACAAAAGTAGAGGCAGGAAGTAATGGGAAGAGGGCATATCAGCTAAGTAATCTGGAGGTATTTTAATATTTCTTTTAAGAGAAGAATGGCAATTTCAATGCATAGCAAGCTAATCCAATTAAGACTTCTAACAGGCACGGTAAAGGATAAAAAAAAAATTCACAAACATCTAGCATAATTATAGTAAGTGAATTAAGCATTTAGGATCTTAAATAATTGATCTTTATTAAGAAGCAATTATTTATAGTACTGGGAGTAAAACTACAGCACATGCTTATAGTACATCCATTACTCCACAGTACATGTCCACATAGACATTCTTGTAGCATTGTACCAAAACAGCTTACCTTTCTTTTTCATTGAGAGGCTATACAAATATTACACAATGAAAAAACATACAGTGAATACTTACTTCAGGAAGCACTAAAAATATGACATGATGATGTGACATTAAGCAAGGAGGGAAGAAAATCAAATCTATCTACACATTAAAGAAATTAATAGGAAAAGAAATTGGGCTATGGAGGAACTTAGTCTTCAGAAGTGCTCACAACTCTTGAGTAATTACTGCCATTATTTTTTCAAATTAATGATCCAAAAAGAAGAATGCCCACCACAAGAAAGTTTAGGTCAGATACTTCCACAGTATCTTCAGACAGAAAATATCAAAGCTGTGAGCCTTTTATGGCATTCAAGTACACACATCTAGGTCCACATGAAAATTTACACCAGAAGTTTTTTCATTTATGTTTATTCTTTAAAGATGCTAATATGCATAATAGATAGGATGCATTTAAAAGCAGTTCTTTTTTAAAGATTGACTTCATTCCAAATAACAAAGCCTTACCTTGCCAGCTATCATTGCAAACACACAGCTTCTCGCCTGTGAGATCACAGTACCCATGATCTGGACTGCCACAGTTGGCTTTACAATATGGAATATCACAGGCTTCTCCTTTCCAATACTTGTCACACTCACAATATACCCGGCTTGGTACAGACACGCTGGTTGTACACTTCCCATGCTCTGAGCAGTTATTAGGACAAGAATTAATTCTGAAAAAAATACGTAAAATAAGGGAAATGACAAGCCAAGAGTTGATGACAGTGGTTTTATCTGACAGTATTCCAACAGTATTTGTTAGATAAAGTACTTTTTTATTTTTCCTGAAAAATTTCTCTTTACTGATAAAACACCAGTTTAATTACAATTCCGCAGGCAAGTGAGCTCAAAAGGTGTTCATCCAGGCTGGCATACAAAGTCTGTGATGAAATCTGGATCACAAACATCTTGTACTTTAAGAAGTATTGACATTAATCAGAAGGACAGGCCCTGCCTGGAAAGACCACCATCTAATTTTTTCAAGTTACAGTATAAGCATTCTTTAGTCAGTCCCTTCAAATGCTTTTTATATCTAGGATCATCCACACTGGAAGTGCCTGTGAACAGGAACCCTTTAACTATCCGCCACAGGCACATAGCTGAAGGGTTTCCTGATTGACCTTGGTCCATACTATAAAATAATGTCTAACATCCAAGGAGAATAAAATTGGAAAAACTGAGCAAAGAAAAATTGAAATTACCTGAAACTACCAAAAATCAATGGTTCATGCTTTGAATCCTTAATAACAGAGCCACCCTAACCTTGCCTCCCTAACTCTGCAGTGAGAGATGAAAAAAGAGGAAAGATCAGCCTGGAAAAAGTCTGTGACTGCTACAGGATTTAGCGTTTCTGTGACACACCCTACTGAACACTGAGATCACAGGCAACTGGACTCCACAAAATTATGCGGCTGGTTCTAGAAGTGCAGGCAATTCCTTGGAAATGAGGAGGGATGGAGGACATTGAAGTATGTGGATCTAAGAGATTCCATGAACAGTATATGGATGTCAGGAAGCACATGCCCAGTGAAGTCCAAAAAGTATTTGAAAACTTTTTTGATGACTCACAGCAAAAGGCTGGGTTGGAACTCAGAATAAACTGTTACTACAAACCCCTGTAGATGTGGGAGCTGGATGCTGTTCATAGCCTTCCTTGCTCTTACCAAAGGAAGAAAGAACTGAAAAAGTTAGTGAGGAATGGTTCAAGGCTGGCCTTTGGCCAAATGTAGCTGTGGTAGGACAGTCAGAAGATGTGTTTTCATTTTTTAAAGACTCACACCTCAGAGGACTCGGAGGACAACAGCTTTTGTTGTTGTTACACACTGAAAAAGTGTCTGAACTGCAAACGTCCTGCAGGTTTTTCCTAGTAACATATGCAGCATTAAAACCATTGATGGCACTAACTGCTGTATACGGCAGCTGTGAGGAACCTCTCCCCCGACTTCGTAGAGAGAGTGTTCTGCAGGAAGGTGAATAGTTACATCTTTCCAGCAACAGAGATACCAGTTTAAAAGTAGACGTAGTCCCACTCCAATGGGTTCGTTGAGGATTCAAATAGAATGAGAAAAACTGGATTGGCAGAGTTGGAAGTAGGTTGCCTGACTCCAAGGAATACAAAATGTACTTGGAAAGTTCTGGAGTAACTATTGTTTGCAACTGGCGTGGCATTTTAGTCACAGACGCTGTGCTTCTGTCTTCCACAAAATAAAGGAACAGAAGTGGTCCATCAAGATGAAGTCAAAAGGTGAAGTCAAAAACTGCTTTGGGTTACTAAACCAAGGAAGAATGAGTGCAACACATCAGTGACAGAAAAAAAAATTAACGCAGCCATAAAAAGCAATTATAGGTACTTCTTTTAGCATAAAAAGAGTTACTGTTGGCTCATTAAAAAAAAAAAATAGAAATATCCATTGCAATAGAAGACCAGTATACATAAAAATGTTGTGAGTTATATATGTAATTAAAAACTGGCTCTTTTTTCATTTATTTTAAATCTTCAAAAAAATTAGGTAATGATATATACCGTGCACTAGGTTACCAAGTCATAAAAGAATGCAGAGCACATACACTCATTTCTTAAGAATGCCACGTCATATTGCCATTTGCTCCCAAGACAAACAAGAAAAGTACAAAAAAAGCTTCAGGGATAACTGAAAAATGTATCTAATTAGAGTAGAGAAGTCTGCCAGGTGATTGCATTTTACTGATGTCAACTGACGAAAATTAAAAATACCCAGTCTTCTAGACTGCCATTTCCAATAAAACATATTCATTGAGGTTCCCCAAACTCTGAATTTATTAACTGGTAAAAGGTAGGCAAACTGCTGCAAATTACAGAAACAATTTTTCCATAGACAATTTATCAAAGACCTACCCCAAGAGAAAAGTCAGAATCACAAATAGGAATTTTAAATTAATAAAGAATATGACAAAAATATTACATGTACTTCCACATTTGAAGTACAGTGCTGGGCAGCACATCCCAAAAATTGGTATTTCAGAATCTGAAGGAATTGAAAGAAAGGAACAAAAATATCTTCAATCACAGGAAAAGTATCACATGAAGAAACAGGTCCAACGGAACTAAGCGACCCTCTCCTGAACTAAATCATCCAGTACAAAGAGACACCGCATCATCCGTCACAAGCATATCCCAAATGAGACAGAAGTTGCAGTCAACAGCTGGTGCATATAAGAAGGAAAAGGCTGTGTCTTTAAAGCTGCAGACTTGAGGAAAGCAAGCATAGTTATACCAGGCTAGATTTTACCATCAGAGAAACTAAGTCCAGATAAGAACTATGAAGGCAGAAAATGGACTGAGATAGGAGGGGAAAGTACCTGAAAAATAGAGAAGAAATGGAATAAACCCCTTGTGGCTGGCACAAAAATAAAAGTAGGACTTTGGTGAAGGTGTCAAAAGCCATAAAAGCACATTCAGCAAGAAAAGTCAAGCAACAGATGATCCTAGTTCAAGAAAAGGGAATTGACATGACAGCAGATATAATCTCTCTTCTATTCCATATGACAAACTACCCGTTAGATAAATACTGGAAGGGATACATTCTAGTTCCATATGGTATATGAAAAACATACTCTTGGAATGGCCATGTGGCTTCGCTCAGAACAATATTCTTTATCTCATTCTCTCTCTCTATTTTTGTTTGTTTGTTTCTTTCAAACTAGTACCTTAATGACAACTCATTACAACCCCAGCTCCCTGGTCTTAGAAACATATGACTAAGCATAACTCTTACACTGTTAATAAAATCAACAGATAAACATTTTCCCTGGGTTTGTAATTCTCCTGAAAGAAGTGATAGGCCAATTAACAAAGTAATTGCTTATTAAAAAATACTTACGAGTAAAAAATGTTAAATCCAGTTAGGTTATAAGCAGCATCACTAAAAAAGTGTAGCAATGCATAGCCAGATGTAGTAACTACTTCAGGAACAGTTTCATTTCCACGCACTTCAGGGACTATTAGACCACTGGAAAAGAAGGTGAGAACAATGTTTCTAATCAGTCTTTGGGAGAGGGAAAGAAAAAAGAAAAAAAAAAAAAGAAAAAAAACACAAAACAACGAGTTAGCTATTCTGGTTGTTAATTATATAGACAAGATAACTCATAAATCTCATTTTAAAACTTATTTTTAAAACACAAATAATAAAATGCATATAAAACTTGTCCACACCTCTGAAAGGTAAGGTAGGGTTTTTGCAGGAAAACAAAACAAAAAACCTCCTCCCTCACAGTAATGCAAAATTTCACATCAGATTATTCTGACAGTGCATGCACTGTCAGTATAAGACTGAAGTAGGAAAAACAAGCAATATATTAAAATACTGAGAAAGAGGATCACCCCCATAAAACACTGCCGTATCACAAATATAAATTAAAAGCTATAGGAATCCTAAGGAAAATACTAACAACCAATAAACTGAAAGACATTTGAAGTAAAGAACATGGGAACAGGAACCTACTCTTTCCTTCCATTACTGCTACAAGTAAGGCTGAATAATAAATAGCTAGACACATTTAAGAAATACAACTTAGGGGGGACGGACAGGACAGGACACCAACCCACCAAAAAAACCCCACAAACCAAGAAATTATGTAACAATTCAGAGGAATTAGGAGAGAAGGTGGTGTGATAGCTATAGTTGGGCAGGAAAGAGGGCTGACATGAGCTTTGTTCCCTTAGGAGAAAGCACTATCATTTATGCAATTAGTATTTCTTAAACTTCAGCAGCATAACCAGTATTTCATAACAGAAAATAAAGTACAATTTCTGCCCCACAGAACATGTGTGTGTACATATGCACAAAGAGTTTCTGGTGTGGGTTTTTTAGTGGTTTTTTGTTCGGTTGATGGTTTGGGGTTTTTTTTAGTGTAGCTTTGCACGCAATGGATATCCCAAGATAAAACATTTACTGACTTCAGAGAATTAGGATCCTGTGCTTTCTTTCTAATAAACTATTGCCCACTTGCAAAGAATATTCTTTCTGGAATGTTTTCCAAAATTTTAGTGAAAGGGTAGGGATAAACCAACTGAAACATTTTGGTAAAGTCCAGGAATGGAGGAAACAAGTGTTGAAATTCACATGCCCTACTTTTTCTCTCTTGGACACATAAGAAACACAGTGCATGGATCTAATTCTTTACCTCAATCGTTTATAGTCATTTGAGAGGCAAATGATTAGTTTTTATTCAGTATCAGTTTTTACACTCATTGTTTACTGTTGTTGGGTTTATGTTTCTTTCTAAACCTTGCTACAAAGTAATACTATGATTCTAGACAATAAATATTAACATGAAAAAAGATTCGGATCTGTAGCAATTTTCATAAGCTAATGATATAACAAAAAGGAAAGAAATTCCATTTCAGCTGATAGCAAATTTGAGCTCTCCTCCAGGACCTTGAAGAATTTGATAATTTTACCCACTAAGAGTTAGCCATGAGGATGCCCAGTTTAGCAATCTAAGGAAATGTGTTACAAAATTAGTGCTTAAGATAGCCTTTGTATCAAACGCCCTGAACAAGCCTCTTCATTCGTCATACAGAAATGCAGAAGGCATTCAGTAGCCATTCTTCATAACTTACAGTGCAGCATTGCCTGAGCCGCAGATTGCAATTCTCAAGTAGGATCAGATAGTGGAACTACTGGACAGTGCCACATTTAATGCACATTAAAACTCAGGAGTGACTGTTGAAAGCCTACTGGAAAATACATTTGCGACTGCTTGTCTATGAGCATTAACACTCCATGTGATGTCACCATTAAGTACAAGCCACATAAGCGATTTATGCTATGATCACCTAACCAAAAAAGTAGTTTTGCAATTTATTCTAATATAACTTTACATACACGCTCCTACGATATTAATAAAAGCAAGCAAGATATTTAGCAAATTAGAGCCTCTAATGTTATTTTTTCCCCCACAAACTAAACATGTCCACACATGACTACTTGGACTAAATGGCTAATAAATACTCTTACCTAAATACAGCTATTAAAGGTGCATATATTGAATCTCCATCATAGACATACATATGGTCCCAACTACATTCTGTGGCAAAGTGATTAAATCTTAATCTTAGTATTGCATTTGGGCTGAGGAAAAAAAAAAAAAAAAGAAAGAAAGAAAGAAAAAGAACATTGATTTAAAACATTTACTGAAGTATTGAGCTCATAAGATAAAGAACAACAAAATTGATCATGTCAGCATAACTCAACTTAAAACATCTTGAGTACTAACTAAACATTTCAGAGTTAAATAACAAAATTCAAGGCAAACAAATATTTCCCTTTATCTTTGAAAAATTTAAAAATACCATCTTCAGTCCAAGTCTAACAATCCCTAAAGTTAACAAGAGACTTAAACTTATGAGGTTTTTTCAGTATTCAGAACAATGAATTTAGAGCAATTAAAATATCCTATTTTAATATACTAGCTTTACTTGCCAGTGTCAGGACTATGAGGGTTAGAGTGTCTTTCAAGACAAAAGTCACACATCCTCATTCCAGTATTATACTAGCTATTGAAAATAAAAATCTTAAAACACAAGTTTAAAATAGCAAGCAATATTAGTGCAAGATTTTTTTTTCCTCCCCCATTTCCCCCATCTTACACCTGGGAGTCAGATTTCACCAGTTTTTGGTAGAGATCCAGACGGGGACTGTAAGATTTCTGAAAGGGGAATTTTCTCATGTGACAAAATTAGTAGACTCCTAATTATATTCCATGCAACATACTGATTATTTTCTTTTATTTCTTTTTTTTCCTCCTACTGACAGTCTTGAGTGCAGTTTGTCAGTTTGAAAAACATGCTTTTTTTTTTTCTGTGAGAGATCATTTGGTGAGAGCGCTCTCTATTCATTTTTTAAGACAATATCATATACATATGTGACTTCCTTGTATGCTGACATTTTGCACTATGTTAACTGGGTTGCGTTACTCTTCCACATACTGTGCAGCATATTGTTTCCTCCAGCTACCCACTCTACCATCTTCTGCAAAGAGGAGGAACAGAGTGAAGACCAACTTCAAAGCAGAGTTTGTATACAGACCTGAGGCATGTTTTCACTTTAGCATAGCGTAGCGCAGTGCAAATATTCCTGAGCTAGCTTGGGTAAAAAGAGAACCCCTAGCTATGTCAGAAAGATATTCAGCTATAGTCTAGTCACCTAAATATTGAAGCTTCTACTTAAATGATTTTGCAAACTACCCGTAACTTCATTGCCGTTGTGTTTAAATTGCTATCTGCATGTAAGCAGACCAAAATTAGATCACTGAACTGCAGCGACAGAGCAGACATCTAAGGTAACTAAGATTATGACAATATGCAAATACAGAAGGGGGTAAATTTCTTCTAGAATGTTAGTAGAGCTCGGACATAGCTAAATTCCTCAGCAAAATCCTGATCCACAGCCTGGGGGGAAAAGGTCCTACTGAAATTTAACAAATTTGTGCCTTTAAGAGTTAGCCATACTAGTGTCTATGTCTCATTTCTTTGTGCATGTCTGTGTGTTTCTGTGGTGCACAAACTAAAAAACTAACAACAGACATGAGACATCAAAACTGTATAAACTGTGGGCACAATATGATTTTAAGATTAAGTACATGAGGAAAACTAGAATGAAAAAGAAAATAGTTTATAGAAGCACTAACTTTTGAGCAATGTGTAACTGAATAATTATCATTAGACTGGAAGCGTTCTGTAGTTGAAGCCATTCCTCATCGATCACTGCAGTGTAAGATAATGAGTTAAATAATAGGATTCTGTAACCACATTTGGAACTTATGTAAAGGTATTCAAACAGGCAACAAATTTATCATAGGGTTTTGAGAGCTTGCAGCACTGGCCAAATTCCAACGTCAGCCTAACTTTTGCCAGCAATTTGAATAGCAATGGAATATGGCCAACTCTGAGCAATACTGAAAATCTTACTTCAACATTTAAAAAAAAAAAAATCTTTGTAACATTTAGACAAAAAACAAAACAACAAAACTGTTTATACTGTATCCAGATGCAGTTTCTACTTGAGGAGTTCTTTAGATCTCTAGAATACACAGTACCAAACTGTCCAAAAATTTAAGCTATGAAAATAAATACTTACTATCCTTCAATTAACCATGTACATTTAGTTTTATATTTATAATTTATTGGTCCATCTGTTAAATATCCAGAAGGTTCTGTTAACCTACAAGAGAAAAAACAATGCTGTAATAAACCAAATACAACACAACAGAACACACATCATCAACGTCCCAATAGACTCTTTCTGCATGGAAAGAAAAATGGGGGTAGGAGGAAAGAGTAAAGTGTCTCTTCATATTTCTTGTCACACTACTTTTGCTCATAAAAACTAGAATTCTGATTATTCCATATAATTGATTTGCTTTCTTCCCCTAGGCAATCACAAGACTTCTGATTTTTCTAGTTCAGTAGCAAGCAAATACTACATATAATTTCAATTAGCCTTCACACGAAATGGATTCAAGCCAACGTAAAGGGGTTTTTGTTTAAGAGTATTTTGGTTTGTTTTGCTTGTTTCTTTTGCCATTGCCTTACATCTTACTTCTGAAATTTGACCACAGCAGCAGTGGGAGAACTGTTCTAGATAAAGAGAAATTAAGGCATAAATTATAAATTTAAATAAGTATATCTGCCAGCCTGTCCCTCTCTTATTCCTGGTCAGTGGTGAGACATGAGAAAGCAGAACAAAACTGGACTACACAGAAACTAAATAAAATGCATATGAACAGCTATAAAAGGTCAGACCAAAATGCCAACATAGCCCACTATCCAGTCTCTGACAGTGGCCTACATTGGATACCCGGACAAGAACTTCAGTCCCTAGAGATACTCCCCACAGCGTTACACCACCTTCAACGACTCTCAGCTCAGGGACATTCTCAGCCAGAGGTTGTACCTTTGTACGGGTTTTGGGTTAGCATTTCTCCTAAGAGGAGTTTGCCCATGTAGAGCCATGTAAATTTGCAGCACCTAGAATGTCCTGCAGGAATGATTTGCACACATATACGAAGACACAACTCAACTCTTTTTGCCTTGAGCCTTCCTCTTGGCAATTTCATCTGACATCCTTAGGTTTGGTATTGGATGAAATGAATAACGGTACCCTGTTCACATGCTTTATCCCACTCAAAATGTAATGATCTGTGTCGCTCCCCTCCCTTCTCTTCACTGTCCCTTTTCCAACCTGAGAAATCTTTGCCTATTTAGTTGTTTCTCATATGGAATAACTACATTTGATCATCCCCACAGCTGGTATTTAATATATCGTTTTTGTTCTCCTACATCCTTTCTTAGATGCAACACAGAGATGAGCATATTGTATTCAAGATGCAAGGGAACCATGAATCAGTACAGTAGCACAATAATGACTTCCACTTTGTTCTCTATTCCCACCCTAACATTTTATTTCCACTTTTGACAACTACTATGCTGACATTTTAAACACAACTAGCTGCTATAACTTTTCTTCTGAGTGATAATAGATAGTTCAAGATGTGTTATATATAGAAATTAATTTAATGTAGAAATAGAAACTTTTTCTTCCGTTCATATATATTACTTGACATTAATCTGTACAGAGTGATAAAATAGCAGATGAAATTCAATAATCTATTACCATAAAAGCTTTCTGAAAGAGCTTAGTATCTTCAGCACACTGCAACTTCACTCATTTTTTTACATCCTTTATGATTATATTCTATAGTTCAGGCCTTAACACACATCTCTAGTGTCCTTATTCCACCAGGAAAACTGACCGTTCTACTCTAAAACGCTACAACAATGGTAAGGAATATAAATACATACTCAGAAACACTCATTTCTTTCACTATAGTATGGAAAGATAATCGTTAAGAATAAATATTATTTAATAAAGAAGCAGTCGGGGGTTTCTGTTTTGTTTCAGTTTTTCTTAATAAATCAATAGACTAGATCTAAGTCCAGAGGCAATGCAGAACAAGCTGACCAAGTAAAAGCTAAATTTTCTCACCAGGAGTCTAGCTGAACAGGAATTCAGTATCTGCTATACTACTCACTCTGAAGCTGTATACACCAATTTTAAAAATATTCATTACCACATCTTCTGCAAATTATTTACATTTGAACTCATCAAACACTAATTGCATACTTATTAACAGAGATCTGTAATTCCAAACATAAAACTATAAACATGCAAAACGGAGATAAAAACAAGGGAGCAAGAAAGAATTTATGAGACAAGGTCCATGCAAACTCTTAGGTTTTTAAACAAGTTCCTTCACCTGTCCTGCAAGAACTAGCTTCAGTTTGTTAGGCACATGTAAGATGCTCCTCAAATCACTAGTGTTTGAATGAAAATCTTTACCCACACTTTCCTTTTGATGAAAGCTCTCTAATATGGGGAGTTGTCCAAATAATTGTACTTCAAAACATTTTCAGGGCATAAAAGTAATATCCATAATATATTTTATGTTTTTGAACAAAAAGAAGAAAAGCAGATAAACGGTAACAAGAGCAACAGACTGGGAGGAAAAAAAAAAACCCATTAAACCAAACAACAATCGTATACTTCAGTCAGCTGACAGCTGAGAGAAAATTTCCCTACTAAAGCCCAACACACTGAGCTGGGCCAGATGCTGCAGTACACCCCTCCTGCAAAGCAACAGCTCCTGCTAAGTGCTACACAACTGCTTGTGTAGCTCATAAGCAACGCAGTGAACGGTGAGGCCTGGCTGGTAACTTCTGCTCCTCTTTTGGCGCACACTGGAGAAGCCGCAGCGATGACCACAGGGAAAGGCTAACCGTGCTCCTGCCAGGTGCTCTAGTGTGAACCAGTGTCTGGCCACAGAATACTTTTGCTTGAAGAAAGCAAGAGACACATGCAGTTTAAGTTTACAATATTTCTTTTTGTTGAAAAATATCAACTTTACCTAAAGGTATATATTTGTGTTTATATACATAAGAAATAGGTTTCTCAGGGTTATTTCTGGCTTGTTTAATTACATTGTTTGGACAATGCTGAACATAATATCAACCTATAATTTAGCAGACTAACTTGCACATTGCTGATTTTGAAATGGAGCTAATATTAATGCTTGGCCCCTAGCAGAACCTTAGTAAAGCTGATTACAGGACCATATCCCACATTTGATTGTGTGCTAGATTCAAGTCATTAATTTGGGGGGGGGGGAAAGCGATGCATAAAATTCCAATCTAAATAATTTTAATGCTGTCATATGGTTTATACTCAGATGTGAAGTCTTATATAGCAAGCCATAGAACATTTATTTTGCTGCAAGAAGTGTGAAATACCACAGGCATTCATTTGCAGTCATGACCATTGCTGCCTTAGTAGCTGTATAATGCAATGGAGGTGACTTACAAGAGTTGTTTTTATTAGATCAGCCCTTTGGCACTAGTAAAGTGCAAACAATTTCCCTTCTCACCTAGGCTGATAATTTGTTGATAAATAGTTTCTTTTCGAAGAGTAGATAGCCTTTGAAACAGCTATTGCACTTTGCTGAAAAAAGTAAAGAATAAATAAGAGCATGACATTGCTTTGCAATAATGGTTGTGGAAAATGGTAAGATAAAGGGGCTGTTCTATTTAAAATAAATACATAGCAAGACAGAGTAGCATTACTTTAAGTTTCTTGAGTGATACCAAGAACTTTTCTGTATCATTTTTCTTTCCAAACATTATCAAATCCCAAATGCCATAAATATCACATAGATAAGCAGTACTACTTTCACATAACCTCTTGCCAAATCAAGGGCAATATTCTCTATCATATAACACCAGGTATTCATGGACATAGTTTTGCTCTATGACTAACAGTGATCCTTGTCAAATAATCAAAATCCAGATGAGCCAACATGAATACATGCTCTTTAGTCACAGGAGTGGAATTCCCAGAATGATGCCTACATGCTGCACCCCACTCTCTGTCCATCGCTGAGAAAGCTTCAGGACTGAGGGGATCACCAGAACAATTTTTGTGGCCTGCTTAAGCACCACAGGTTTATCAGACCTAGACCCCAGCTTTCTAAACAGAACGCACAGGCAACCAGCTGATGTAATAAATTGTCATTTTAAATTGCAAGCCAGCTTTCATAAACACCACAATATTTTTTTTAGTTGGCAGAGTTATAAGCAAAATCTATAGAGAATTAGAGGTACATGCCAACAGAATATTTCCCTTCTCTGTACACTGTAAAACAAATCTACCAAATTATAGAAAGAAGTCAGGATGCTGCACAGCATTTAAAGACATTCAGAAGCATCAGTGAGAGAGACAGTCATGCACCAAGCTTAACAGTCAATAGTAGCCTACGTGAAAGATATGTGGCACTATAGGTTGTTTCATCTAGCAGATGTATACCAGAAATGCAAAGGCTAAAAGGCTGAAGTCACCACAGGGCAACTAAAACATGAAACAAAGGGAAATCTATATTCCCCTGGAATAGTATCACTGTTACAAAATAATGGCAAATACAATTGAGTTAGAGTTCACAGTGGTAACATTTGTGTTTACCACTGCAGAGACTTTAAATCAAGACTGATACATTTCAACAAAAGAGAAAAAAAAACTATGTTCTAGTTCAGTCAGAAATTATTGGTCTAAAATGAAGGGTAGTCAGATGAACTCTATGGCCTGCAATACATAAGACATCAGAGCAGGTTATTAAAATGGCCCTTCCTAGCTATAATATTTATAGACCTGTGGAAAATGCAGTCATGTCATCTCCTGTATCTTCCTGTAAATGAATAGTATCATCAAACCTTTCTGAAAGGGGCCCTACTTGAAATTAGAGAAGTCATTGGGTATTTTCTGTCATCAGCAGAACATGAAGATCCAACAAAACTGCTGGTAGATGGACAGGTAGAGGTCTGCTTTATAATACAGGTATATTAGGAGAAACAAAGCATAAGGTACATTCATAAAATTACAAATATTCACTGTTAAATAAAAGAAGGGCTTATGCAGAGGTTCATTTATCTCTATATTACTTAGAGTCATATTTCTATTCAGAATTTTATGAAAAGCGGGATTACTTTGCAATTCCAACTTCGGATATATCTGAATATAAGATACAGAGCATATTTTGCTATATGGATTCATCTCAATATCAGTATTTATGTGTCAGTCAAGGACTATTCTCTCCATTGTTGCAAAATTTTTCTCCA